TCAGGGTGTGCTTACCAGGAAGGCCCACGAGATGTCAGCAGCCTTCCAGGTGCTGTCCTGGCAGGAGCTGTCACGGAGAAATAGAGATTTGGGAGGCCGATGAAGAGAGGTCAGGACAACGCTGCTTTGCCCATCTGCTCGCGTGCCTCTGAACAGCTCTGTACCTCCAAATCCCCTTCTCCTGGTCAGGCATTCCCCTGTAATTCCACATGGGGAGGAGAGGCATGGGGGTTTTCTAATGAAATCTGGGTATTTCTGACTGCTCAAGCCCAGACAAGGACCCTCACTCATCTCCTCTCTGAGGTCTTTGACCACTCAGCATCACTGGGCACAGTAGCCTCCATTTAAGCAAGGACATGTAAATGTAGGAAAAAATGTCACCTTAAATGAGGCTTGAATGTCATTGTTGGGAAAATTTGAAGAGGCCAAACAGGATGGGGAAGAGAAATACTTGCCTTTTTTCCTTCTGTCTTCATGCAGAGTAAACAAAAGCTTTGATTTTCATGTCAGAGCTACTGAAAGGACCACAACCAATTACTCATTTTCTGATTTTCTTTCTCTTTGTAGGAGAGAGGCTGAAATGCACCAGTAGAAACTTTGAAAAGTTTTAAAAATTAAAGCTGACTCACCAGGACTGGGATCAAGGATTGAGACAAAAGTGAGAAAATCTAAAATTTTAAGACAAACCATATAGATCAGACCTCTGAGATATGAGGATGAAAGACTGGGAGAGACGCTGGCAACCCAGTGCTCTGTCCCCCACAGAAACTCTCTGCTCTGCAGAACCCACGTGTGGCAGGACACAGGTAGGTGGACTGCCATGGGCTGATGGCACAGCCTGTGCACCTTGGGGAAGGCATGGAAAGGCCAGGGCTCCCCTGCCCTGCAGGCAGCCCAGCCCCAGGCACTGAGGAGGCTCCTGCCACTCTCCTGACACTACAGCACGGATGTCAGGCTGAGGGGCTCGCTCTGTGACCCCTCCGTGCCAGCCCTCGGGGCCAGCGCTCATCTCAGAGCACGGCACACACCACGGGGCAGTGAGAGCCCCCACACCCTCACACCTGTGTTTCAAGGGAAGGAAATGGGGCAGAAAATACAGGAAAAGGGAAATTTCTCCACGTGAGCAGGGCTGGATTTACTGCAGAGGAAGGGAGAAGGGCATGAGGAGGTCCCAGCAGGCAGGATTCAGTTTTCTTGAAGTCCCTACATATTTAGCCACCCAAACACTGAGAGCTGCCTCGCTCCTTTCTCCAGGACAAACTCAGCACTGTCACTCTCAGGTTGGGAGCCTTGATCTTGCTGGAGGTGTGGATGGATGAAACTACCCAGGGCACCAACAAAAACACAGCAATGGAGGCTTGACACATGAAGCAGCACAGAGAACTAAAGAATAACCCCAGTATAGCATCTCTTCAGGAACAAATGGCATTTTTCCCTCCAGTAACTTGACAGAAGTGAGAATGCTCAGCTGTTCCCTGCACTAGGAAACATGGGAAGGGATTTTAACAAGTCTTCAGTGCCTCCCTGCTCCACTGACAGCAGCAGGCATTGAAGAATGTTAATGGAGCATCTTTACAAAGCCAATGATGAGCTCTCTTAGCAAACATCCCCAGAATAAAGGTTCTGATGTCTGTTTTCCTGGTATTTTGAATGGAGTAAAGATGCATTTGCTTAGTTATTGACTCTGAAGTTTCCAAAAATCAAAGGGTGGTAACAGACTGGAGCTTCTGTGTAGCATAAAGGCAAAGATAAGCCAGGCATATTGTGTGCTGAGAACCAACAGCAAACCATGAGCTCCACATGCACATGGAATAACTGCACAGTACTGAAGCAAGAGCACCAAGAGGCCTGGCAACAGGATGTCAGCCTTTATGAAGCCCATTTTAGGTACAGGCAGACACAGGCTGTTCACGTTTTTCAAGCAGGGATGTTTTCACTGGAAAATCAGCATTTTTTCACCCCCTCCTTGTCTCTACCCCTCCAGTCTATCAAAATCACTGCTGTTCTATTTTTCATGAAGTTTTCTGCTGTGCTATACTTGTGCTTGCACCTGAAATATACAATCCTCTGCTGGTATCTGGGTCAGCCACACTGAGGAGGGGATCCCATTATTGACTCTGGTTGTTTCTGAAATGAATGACTCTGTACAGTCAGCTCAGGTTGGGATTCAAAGGCTGACATTTCCACAACAACGGGCCACCACATGTGTGCCAAAGCTCCAGGAGCCTTTCATCCCAGGCAGCACAGAGGCAGGGGTGACATCCCCCAGGATATCTGGGAGCCCAGAGGCAGGGGTGACATCCCCCAGGATATCTGAGAGCCCAGAGGCAGGGGTGACATCCCCCAGGATATCTGGGAGCCCAGAGGCAGGGGTGACATCCCCCAGGATATCTGAGAGCCCAGAGGCAGGGGTGACATCCCCCAGGAAGTTTGGGAGCACAGAGGCAGGGGTGACATCCTCCAGGAGCTTTTCATCCCAGGCCGCACAGAGGCAGGGGTGACATCCCCCAGGATATCTGGGAGCACAGAGGCAGGGGTGACATCCCCCAGGATATCTGAGAGCCCAGGGCACTGCCTGGCTATCATCCCTGCTGCTGCTGCTGCCTTTGAGCAGAGATGGAGAAGTGAGAGTATTTATCATTTTTTGGTTTTACCCAAAGGGAGACACTACACACCAATAGACCTGCTCTGCAGGCTGGGAAACAAGCAAACACCACTAAGTGAGAAAGCTGCAGAAAAAGCCTTTCCCTTGCTCTGCCTCAGCTCTGGGTGAAGCCCAAAGCAAGCAAACACCAGTTCTGTCTCAAAACCAGAAATGGGCTGTCAAAGTCTGGCTCTGATCTGTGCTACTCCTCAGCCACGAAGGAGCACCAATTAGGAGGAACACTTCTGCCTCACACCACAGCCATTACTGAAGGAATGGCATGGCAGAGAAATGTAGGAGCACGTAGGAGCAGAGTTACAGAGCTGCTGTATGAGCTGAGAGCACAGCACGAACTAACCCTGGCCAAACGCCTCAGCCTGACTCAGGACTGGCCCAGGGCACAGCTGGGATCTTCCTCTGCTACACATCACTGCATTAACTGAACCATCAGCTGCTGATGGAGCTGAGAAAACTTCTAAACAATACTGAGACCTCAAACCTGTGGTTCCTATCTTCATGAACTCCAAGTGCATTTTAAACCTACAGCTCTCAGTGAAGTTAGGAAATCCTCAGTGCCAAATACCCTTTAAACACTGAAGGTACTGGTGCAAGTGCACACATTAAAAAATTGTCTAAATTAAATGTTTATGCTGAACTAGTTTAGCAACATTAAATATTCTTAATTTTCAAGTGACTGCAGCTCAGCTTCTCTCTGTAAGTTAAGCTGTATCAAAACAAAGCATGCTAATTCTTAACAAATATACATTAAACTGGTATCTTGCAACAGAGTTAAAAGCCAATTCTCAGTTGACAGTCAATGCCTCTTAGCTGCTATTAAAACTTTACGGCACTGTTATGGAGGCCCATTTCAATCAGTCATATGTAGAGCCCTGATACACAGGCAGAAAAGCAAGAATTTACATTTTCTTGGAAAGAACCAACAGTGATTTTCTCTACTTCAAAACGTGGCAATTTCCCATCTGGGGCTGGTCCTTCCCCGTGTGTTGTTTCAGTGGGACAGGAACCCAGCTCTGCACACACCCATTTGCAGGCCAAGGCCCAGACTCATATGGTCTTTATAATGCTGAGAGAAGTAATGCCATTTAATACTTTTTAAGCTTAGGGATTTATAGTTCCAGAACTATAGGAGAGTATTTCTGCAAGATAATAAACTCCTTTTTTCCCCCCCCATTTTAAAACATCTTCGTGTATTCATGTCAAAACATATAGAGATATTTCTGGTGTTAAAAAGGGCTGTGGAACAAAGTTGCTCTCCTCCAGCAGCAGGAAGAAGATTACCTACCTTTTTCCTCATTATTCTGGGCCACCATTATCAGCAAGATATTTTATTACAGCAAAAAAAAAGAAAAAAAAAAAAAAAAAAAGAAGACCTTGATTTTATCCCCACTGTCCTGCAGCAGCAGCCAGCAGCCCTGATCAGCAAGTGATGAGTGCCCTTCCGGAGCAGGCAGTAAATGTAAATTTAGCAAAGAGCACTTAGCAAATATAACTACAGGGTCCATGCTCTCAGGATTATCTGATTTTCCCTCGCTGCAGAAAAATCCACATGAAAATGAAATCCTACATTTATTCTGCAGCTGCATGGCAGGGAAAGGTGCACGGCTGGCAGCGTCTAGGATCACCATCCCACAGGTGTGATTCACCTGCCTGTCAGGATGTGCAGTCCCAGAGAAACTGCACAATCAGGGGCAATTACTCAGAATCCTGAGCCTGCAATCCTGACGGCTCCCTGCCAATTCTGCTCTAGCCTGTAAGCCAAGTTCTCTTCCCAGGTGTGCAGCCTGAGCCCCCAAGCCACGAGCTGGGCTGTGTCCCTCACTGTCCCACCCTGAGGAGCTCAGCTCCATCCCCACCATGTCCTACCCCAGCAGCGGGTGCAATCACATCCCTCCCTGAGCTCCTCGCCCGGCTGAACGAGCAATTTAATTTCTTTCCTTTGGTGTACTTTTCCCTCTCTCCCTTGCTCCAGACTGCCTTTGCCTAAAGCACTGCTCTTAAATTAATTACCACGGAGCTTTGTGCTGCAGAGGAGCAGCGTTTTGGGCCTCCCCTGGGCCTTGTGGCTTTTTCTTCTGCAGCCCGGGAGCGCGAAGGCTCGGCCTGCCAGCCCCGTGACTCAGGCTCTTCAGAGACACTCCCACAAGTTTTATACACACAATTCCTTTTTCCTCCCAGCTCTGCTGATAAATGTTTGGATTGCAGCTCCCTCCCCGCGCGCCTGCCTCGCAGGCCAGCTGACGTGCTGAGCCCACACACGAGCCGCGGGCACGGCTTCGTGAAGGTGACACGGGGGCACGGGAGGCAGGCTGAGGGTGCAGGGCAGCCAGCAGGGTACCTTCATAGGAGCCAGCTGGATGGGAGTGATGCATGAGGGATCCACCATGGGCTTGGGCCGGTTGGCCGTGTCTGCCAGCAGGCTGTGCCACTGCTGGGGCAGCCCCGTGAACTTCTGCTCCCGGTGGTCGAAGCCAGTGTGGACCCGGTGCTCGAAGTTGGAGGGCCCGGAAATTTCCAGCCTTTTCTTCTTTTTCCCGAACATGGTGGAAAGGTCTGCAGAAAAGAAAAAGAGCCACATGTTTACACTCTGTTGTATCCCTCAGCCATTGTCCCTACTTCACAGGGAATTTTAGCACATGTCATTAGCCAGCTACTCCATGAACTTCACACACTGAGATCCATGCGAGGCAAGCGCTTAGCTGACCTCCTTTCTGGGAGAAGATTTTAAGAAATTAACCTGTTCATGACTCCTCACGAAACAAGGAAATTCCCAGGAAAGAAAGCCCCAGGTCCTGCTTTGTACTCCTCTCTCTGCTCGTGCTGTGAGTTGCACCCATGGAAGCTCCAAGCTGAGAGCAAGGCCAGCAGCAGTGGATGGCTTTGCCCCAAGGACAGCCCTTGGGTACGAGGTGAGCTGTGCCCTGGTACAAGGGGGAGCAAGTGCAGGCACAGCTTTGCACCCTAAATCTGTACCCCAGGTCCTGGAGCACAGACAACCCATCCAGGTGGGAGCCTGGCGCTGCTGTGGTCAGGTCTGGGTCTCACACAGCAGCACTCCAAGGGAAATTATTCCTGTGCCATTTCAGCCATGCAAACAGAGAGCTCAGATCTAATTCCAGCTGGTCCAAGGGCCTTCCTCTGCGTTTATGAAGAGTCCTGCTTTAAAAAAGCATCAGGTATCAGCCATTACAAATATCAATGCCTGACTTCTTGAGGAGAGAAATGATTTGCCGTGAGAGCCACATGCCCAAAGCGCCTGGGCTCACACCCGGAGGGGCAGAGGTCCCTGGCTCCTGGCCAGCAGGCTTGGGTGGGATTATCAAACACAGCCCTACTCTTCTGAAGGTCCAGGAAGGAGCATCAGCCCTTTTGGTTCCTGTGCAGCTGGTGTGCAGAAGAGACAGGAGCCCTTCCAATCCTACACAAGCAAGGAGCTGGAGGCTGCTGGAGGAAATGTGACCTTCCCAGCTTCTCCTTCCCTGGATCCACCTGGGCTGGCCTGCTACAGCTAATTGTCACAGCTCCTGCCCTACAGAAAGTGAATGTTTTAGTCAATATTAATGGTTATTTCCTGACAAGACCGAGTTGATTTGCTTTGCTCCTGTTTAGGCCTTCCTGAGGAACATGGAGAAGGCAGCAGGAGGGTTTCAGGGCACACAAGGGAACAGATTAGCTGGGGCAAAAGGAGTTCCACTGGCAAGGTGGAAGGAGGCAGGAGCTGCAAAGGGACAGGGATAAAGGTACTTGCTCATTCTACTGGCACAGGAAATAGCCAATACACTCTCCACCTGCATTAACCCTTGGGTTGGTGGGTCCCACCTTAAAATGAAGTGCAGCCTACCAGTTCTATTGAAGCAAGTTCAGAATTTCTGGAGGACTCCAGAAATCTGCTGTGCAAGGCAGGGATAAACTCCTGGTCCCAGGGAAACAGACAGAGGCCCTGCTGCTTTTCAGTGACATACTGTCCTGCCCTGGGAAAGCTCTCTGCCTGCTTTCTGCTGCCTCACAATAGTCCTGCTCTCTGGGCCATTTCAAACAGGGCTGGCTGAGCACTTTGGCAGCAGCTGTCTGAAACAGCAGCAGGGTGAGGAGGCTGGCAGCTGCTCTTCCATCACAGCTGGAAAGGTGCTTCCCTGACTTTATTCAGGAGGTGGAGAGGAGCAGTTCAGAGAAGAAAACATGGTTGTGCTGCTGCTGCAGCTAAGAAAAGATGCAGTGCTAAACCAGGTATTTATTCCACCCTCACTGCCTTTCACTAGTTTATCTAAAGATCAAGTCCATTATTTGAAAATTGATTGCTGGCTGCTTTGTAAGTCCTCCTTGTGTATTTGTAGGTGATTGTCTGCTTTGTGCTTATTTCTTTTAGAAAGAGCAGACTTGGCCTCTCTTCACAGGTCTCATCTTCCTCACACCTCTCTCTGGCTTTCTACCCTACTCTGAATTTCCCAAAATCTCCTGCTCTTTTGACAGTCTCTCTCCAGCTCTGTTCACTTGGGTTATCTTCCACACCTTCCTCTCCCAAAACCACCAAAAAGACACATATCAAAGTGACTGTATTGTAATAGAATGACTTTGATATGTGCCTTTTTCCCTTTCCCATCATCATAATTGTTTTATTTCTCTTTGGTGCACGTGGGTACCTTGTGGCACTCTCAGACACGCTTCCAAAGGCACGGAGGCTGCTCTGTGCTCAGAGATTATCCATTTCCAGGCTCCAACAGAAGCAGCCCCAGGTCAGGCAGTGGCTCCACCAGTGGCAGCCAGCTGCAGATCAATGGCACTGCATCGATTTCAGCTGCCTCAGGGACAGCAATCCATGAGACTATTGGAGTAACATTTTAATCCATCAGCTCTGGACATGTATTTTTTCCTCTGATCAATGCCAGGGTTTCCCACAGGACTTGCATCCCAAGGCAGCTGCTGGATGCTTGAAGTCCTCCCGAGCTCCAAACAACATCAGGTAACTGAAAGCCCATCAGCTGGCACCGTGCACACTGCTTTTTAAAATGAACAGCACTTCCACTCAACAAGATAGCAGCCAGCAAGTCACCTCCATTTCACTGCAAAGCCAAGCCAACCTGCCCTCAGCACAGTCCCTCCAAAGAACTGTAACACACAGCAGTCACACGGAAGATTCATTTCCCCTCATTTCTCCCAAAGAATGGAAATGGTGCTCTTTTCCTCAGCTGTCTGAGGATGAGGGTTTGGGGCAGCCAAGTCTGTGAAACCTCAGGCTCTGGGCTTGTAAGTGTCCTGATTCATCCCCACTGACGTGCTTGGTCCTCACACCTCAAAAAGGGAGAGATGATTCAATTTTTCCCACAGCTCTATTGATATGATATAAAAAATAAAGGACTTATTTAATCAGGTGTGGAAGCAGAAAACACCCCTGGTAAGTGACTCCACGTTCTCCAAGACATCTAAAGCCATTTCAGGAATAACCCAAGTGCTTTGAAGAGGAATGACAGAGCTTTCCAGGATGCTGCATAATGTGTGTGTAGCAGAAAACTTCTGAAATTTGTGTCAAGAGCACAAAATGTAAGAAATTCATTCAAGCACCCACCCATTCACACAAAACAGCAATCCTCTCACAGTTATTAAGAACCCCTAATTTCCCAATGGGATTACTTGGGAAAACATCCCCCCGACAACAGGGCAGGCTTTGTGAGAGGCACTGGGAGGAGGGAGGCTGCAGGACAGCTCTGCAGAGCTGCCCCTGAGCCATGCCCACGCCAGAGCACTCACCCTTCACTTAATCCTTCCTGACAGCTTCCAACGTGGCCCTGAGTGTGCCAGGGCTCTCAGCAAATGCCACCTCTCAGTGCAGCTCCTCCTGTGCTCACCCCCACAGAGGGAGAGGAAATGAGAGCCATTGCACTTGTAAGGTGTTGCTATTTCGGTGGGATGAGCACAAGCAGGATGTCTGTCCTGTCCCTGCACTGCCTTGCCAAGGGAAGGTCTGGCTGGCTCCAGGGGCACCTGGCACAGGGTGACACCTGACACAAGGGGGCTGGGGGGCTACTGCTGATGGCAGTGGGCTTGGCTTTGGGTGGAAAACAGGACTCACCCCTGCAGTGCTTCCCGGGGGCATTCCTACAGATTCTGTACTGGCTCTTAGGCTGACATGACACAGCACATTAGTTTTGTGCTGGTAAATGTGAGGCCTGGAGGAGGCAGCCCTTTAGTGCCAGCAAACAATGAACTGGGAAGCAGCACAGCACACCTAAGCAGGTCTGCTGTGACGTGGGAGAGGCAGGAGTTGAGCCTGTTCAGCTCCAGGCTGCCATGCCAAGGGCTCCTCAACCCACAGCCCAGCCGTGGTACAAGCGTTACAGGTAAGAGTTTCTGAACCAAAAATATGGATGTGACACCTAATAGAGGAAAATGCAGTACTGGGGGGGAAATCAGACTATTGCAGCACCTGATGAGGCACTCAGTACCTCTCCTGAGTAACCCACAGCAGGGCTGCTCCCAGATGTGCCACTGGAGAAAGGGGAAGAACAGGGACAGCAGGAGAGATGTGTGAGCTGTGCTCTGGAGATTGCTACCCAAACCCTCCTACAGCTGTAGCATGTGTCTCACTCTTTGTCTCTGCCCAGGAGAGGGGCAGTGCCAGCTCTGTTGGTGCCTGCTGAGGAGCTGTAACACAGCTCCACGTGGCTGCTGCAGGCACCAGGTAACGCTCAGAGGGGGCTACCAGAGCCATCACTGCTTTTGCCCTTAATGCTGTTTGCTGTGGTGCCTAGCAAATCAAATTACATGCTGATCAGCACACGCTGCCTGCCAGGTCCGTGCCAGACTTGTCTCTTTCACTGCACTCCTTGTGTGCACAGAAATAATTCACTGACATCACAGTGCCACAGGCTCCCAGGCTGGTCCACATTTCACCCACACATCAGATCCCCACAGAGGAAATTTCCTGAGATGATGCCCATCAGCCTCCAAAATAAGAGAGAACACTGTTTAACTCTGCCCTGTTTTCTGTTCCCAATAAAAAAGTCAGAGCCAATTTTTGCTCCCCCTCCAAACAGCTGCTCTTTTAAAAAAGACTACAAAAGTTGGAAGGACCTTTCGTGTCGTGTAATCTTGAAAACTACCGGTGTTGCAGGTGCATCCCTTAAGCAGTGACAACAGCCCTTGCCATCCCATATGTCCCCAGACAGCCCTGAGCAAAGGTCTGTGAAATTCTGCACACATAAAAACACAAAGTCAGTACCTAGAATAATGAAGTGAGATGGGACTTTTTGCTTTAAAATGGAACTTTTAATGACTGTACTAAAGCTACGTAAGCTCTGTTTCTTACTGTGGTATTTCAGCAGCCAGATAAGTGTCCCACTAACCCCAGGAAACCGTGCGTGACCCTGAGCCACCCTGGCAAGCCTGCAGGGATTTCCTACACACACCTCGCTGCTGCTCCAGCACGGGCTCAAAGTATTCCCTCAGGAGGGGCTCTGTCTGCCCCAGCCCAGCAACGTGTTTGCTTTTGAACAACCAGCAATTAGTTCCCTTTCAATTAGGGAGTGCACACTGCACTACGCCCGTGAGCCTG